TGCGTGCAGGCCTCCAGGAGCTGCTCCGGGGCCAACAGGGCCCGAGGTCCTTGAGCCAGAAGAGATGTCCGTGATACACACACAGTCTATGCTCGTCCCAGCCAAGAGCACTTTGCAATTAAAATGTCTCAACCAGTGGAGCCCACTTAGGTCTGCCTCAATCCCCAGAGGAGAGGGACCTAGGAAAGGTTGGAGGAAGCTTTAGCTGGGCTGCACCTGCACGCTGACGGTGCAGGTGCCCCCTGGCCAGCCCTGACCTCTGTGCCAGCCAGGGCTCGTGCTAACAGAGGGCATGGATGCTAACGGTGGTCTCCTCTCTCTCTCTCTCTTTTTCTTCCACAGGACCTGGGTCGGTGAGAGGCATCAATGGATCCATCAGTCTGGCCGTACCACTGTGGCTGCTGGCAGCGTCCCTGCTCTGCCTGCTCAGCAAATGCTAATCGAATACACATTTTAAAACCATCATCCTCATAATAAAAACACACAAACATGCGTCACACAGGATACAAAGAGAGAGAGCGTGATAGATTGTGGGGGAGGGGAGGGGAGATACCGTTGATTTCACAACTCCGTGTGTTTATACATGAAGGGGAAATATGAAACATGAAGGGGGAAATATGAAAACGAAGATGAAACTACATTTCGGACAAAAAAAAACAAACCAATCCATCGGGTTTCAAAAAAAAGTGAGGATAATTCAGGGTGGGAAAAGTTCTACCCAGATCTGTGTCTATCTCAGCAAACGGATGCTGTGTAAATGTATGCTGCATTGCATGAAGGACATCCGGGTGTTGTAAAAGAGAATGCATATGAAGAAGGACCAGATGGACAGTCACCACACGAGCACCCTTGATCCTGCCTGCCTTCATCTCCCTTCCCTCCACTTGGGAGAGACACACGGGCCCTGCCTTCGGTGTTTATATTTCCAAAATCGTTTTCCTTTGAGCCATTTCAGACTATCAGCGGAGCCCAGCCTGGGGTCACGTGTTGAGCTTTTATCTGGCTTCCCTGCCTCCACTCTCTCTCTCTCCCACTTTTGAAGACCAGCCTGTCTCCCTCCAGTGTGCTCTGTCGATCCCCTCTTTCCCACTTCCCTTCACCCCGCCCAGGACTAGTCACGCCGCAAATGCTAGGAAGTGCCCTCTTCATTTGATCTACCGTGTGTGCGTGCTCAAGTCTCTCTCTCTTTCACGTGGCTGTACATGTGAGTGAGTGCGTGTGCGCGTGTCTCTCTCTCTCTCTCTCCTCTAAAGCATGCCAAGGGAATGGTCCACGTGTACATAGACTCATTGTGCTGTAGATACTGTCCTGCATTGTACTTGTGAGATGCGGCCGTGATGAGGTGCTGGGGGCCCTGGCAGGAGAGGGGACAAGCAGAGCCCCTGTGCCAGCCTTTGCTGCCACAGGCCATCAGAGTGCATTCAAAAATGAGCTGTGCCCCTTCCAAGGGCAGGACCCCACGTCCCTCCTAGTTCAGTCATCAGAACCCCCCACGAGTCACTCAGAACGATCAGTGAAAGTGCCTCCTACTGATGGGGTGCGCAGACAATAGAAAGGAACCGATGAGATAGATGGGGGCCTAGGAGAAAGGGTTTCTGATTTCACTCTTTGTTCGCAATTCTGATGAATTCATAGATTTCTGGGCTTTGCACAGGCTCACCTCTGCTCTGCTGCAGGCGTGAGTAGGCCGCGCCGAATCAATTCCCAGAAGCAGGAAGAATGCCCAGCGTTCATTCCCTGTGGCTGAATGATGAGCCACACGGAGGGCCCCAGCAGCCCTGTTTGACCCCCCTCCTTTAATCATCCAGTGACACTGCATTCTCCTCATGGATGCTTCTGAACAGAGGTGTTTCACATTTCCGAAGAAATGCATGGAAAGTGAGCCAGAAAGAAAAGGTTCCCAGATAGTCGCCTCCCTCTCTACACCCTGGGGATACTGGCAAGCTTGGAGCACAAAGCAAAGGCCCTGTTAGAGAGCCACTCGCTCCTTGTGCCCCTGGGGAAAGTATTCACCTGGCATCCTAGGACATTACTTTCTTTGGTTCGTTCTAGGCTAGTACTTTCTTTGTTGTGCACTTCTATCTCCCTTCAAGTGCACGGATGGTGCGTCTAACGCCATCGTTCACAGAGGTCTGTCATTCTCTAGAGTAGGCCACTAAGAATTGCATTAAAATCATCTTCCCTACTTGCTTTGAGCTTCTGGTCTGTTGGTAGGAAAATATGGTAAGGATCTACATAGCATTTAAATGTACATCTACAAGAGTGCTCTTGCCAGGAACACTGAAACCGGAGCTAGTTACGGAACCGAAAGAGCTCGGCCCCTTGTAAGAAATCTAGGTGGAAGTCTGAGAATCACAAAGCTTGATGTCACCACAGGTCTTTCTTAGAATGGTCTTGTAGCTAGCTCACAGCCTGTAGATGTCTTTGTCAGGAAACTAGTCCTTGCTCGAATTTGTACTAGAAGCGATTTGGATGTGCTTTGAAGTCGTGGTTGAATGTGTTTGATCACAGCCAAAGGTGTTGTGCTACTGAGTTTGGGGACCTTTGGAATCAGTTGCAACATGATAGGAAATGGGAAACTGAACAATTGTCCATTCAAAATAATAAGAAAAGAAACCCTCTGGAAATTAGCTTGAGGTCTCTGAGCAAAGGCTTTTTGCAAGGAAGCTCTTCTTTGTAGAGACGTATCTCCTTGACAGACGGCATTTTAAAGTTCCTTAAGAGATTTCCAGAAGCTGTTCACTATTATTCATTTGTGATTTTGCAGTTCAGACCTGAGACTGAATGGACAGATTTGGCTTGGGGATAGGCAAGAGTCTTTCTGGCAGATTCTGACATAGGACCGAAACTCGTATCCAAGAAGATAGCTACTTAAAATTAAAGGAAGGGTTGCCATACTTCTAAATAGCACCAATTTATTGACAATCAGGGCTGATCTTCTTAGTGTAAAGAATAAAAGGTTATCATCTTTGATAATAAATGTTCCCCCGTAGAGTGAAGAGGCAGCTGCAGCGTGGAGTGGAAGCTTTAGAAGAATGCATACTAACTAAAAACTGAGCAAAAAGGGTGAAGTAACAGGGTTTAATTCCGATGTCATTGAGCATCTGTGCCAGCCCCCTTAGCACGTCACTGACTTTCCTCAAACTCCTGGCATTTCCATTATTTCCACTCTGTGTTAAGGACGAGGACCTTGTTCCTGAAAGAAGCATCATCTTCAGTGGAAGAGAATGTCTTGATCATTTCCGCGCCATTTATCCTCTTGGCTTTGATAGAATGGACCATATATTAAACATTATTAAACATGTATTAAATATCGTGGTGACTTTGAATATGACTCTGGAAAGATCTTGGGTTGGTTCGTTGTGGTTACTGTTGTTGTTGTCTATTTCCGAGAAAGTGCTGAGCCTAGAAATCTCACGTGTTTGAACATGTATGTCAGCAATGTGGCGGATGGAGGAGAACATCCTTTTGAGCAAGGTCAAGCAAAAGAGTGACCAGAGGACTCCTCCCAAGACATGGGGGCTCCACATAAATGCCTTGAAATGCCATACAGAACAGGGCATAGACCACTTCAAGAATTGGGTAGACAACGTTGGAAACTCTTTACCAACAAAACAAAACAAAAGCCAAGTGAGGAGGGTCATGACAAGTCATTGGAATGAATAATATACTTCTGGTCGGTAAAAACCTCCTTTTTATGCAAAATGAAACTCCAGCATCCATAAAACGCAATCCTTAGACCCAACTTTCAGTTGGCAAATGCCGACCCAATCCTTGCCCACGAGGCTGCTTGAGCAACGCAAGCTTCCGGTAGGCATGGTACCACGCGCGATGGTTCATCAAAAGGTTTCGCCTTGTTGGAGGGTCCACCTGACTTATTTTAAGAAGAGGCCGTATCTTTGTGCCCTGGAAGAACGAAAGCTGAAGAGAAAGTAGCTCGTTTTGTTATTGTGCTTGGAAAGGACTGTCCCGTGGACTCCTGCTTTTTCTTCCACATCAGGCGTTCTTCTCCCTTGCTGTGGGCTTTTTTTTTTTTTTTAATTTTTAATTACATATTAAGACATCCGGGCTATTCACAGAGACCTTGGAAAAGTACTCGTGATTTTTCATGTCCTTGGAGGACTGAAACAAAAATCTGTTTCTCCTCCAGAAATGGACTTACCTCCTTCGCACACAAAAACTAAACTCAGCAAGAGAGTTTCTGAGTTGTTAGCTTCTGCCTGCTCCAGCATCACAGACTCCATCCTGTGATCAGGCTGGTTGGGATCGGACCCTTTCTGTCGGCTGGTCTTCCCCCAAAGTTCTCCTTTTGTTCTTGCACACCTTGGGTTATTGGTGGAAAAATATATATGTGTACGTAATTTTTAAAATTTTCTCTCGACAAATGCGATATTTACAATATTATATGTATGATAAGAAAAATGTAGCATAATGGTTTAAATTTAAAAGCAAGTGCTGAGTTCGGAGTTTAAAAAGAGCTGTGCTTCCTTTGAAAAGACATGAAGCCCCCCCTTTCGAATCCCCCCTTCCTCTCCCACTTGGTACTTATTGGTTTTAAAACAAGCTGTCTGTGTTCCATCTCATAGATTAAGCACGTCCTGTTCTTTCCTCATTCATACCCTTTTAGCCTTGGTTTTTGTCTGGGCCCTCTCATTTTCGATAGAAACCTAAATTCAATGCTATCTGGGAACTACAGAAACTATTAATATTTTGCAATGAGATACCAGTAAAATATTGAGAAAGACCCCAAATTCAGGAACACAGGTCCACTTGAAGAAGATTCCTTTTTCCTTAAGTATTTAAAAAAAAAAATCTCCAAAGATTGCATTTGCCCTGGTGATGTAAATTCCCCATCATAGTTGGCATAATATCTGTAAACATCTCACTAAATACAAAATGGAGTTTACATCGACGGGCAGACTAGCGGAAGAGAAGTAAACTAGTTTCATTTGCACGTAACTAGCTTGTTCAAATGACACCCATGGAAATTTAAGAAAGGATTTGTTCTCATCCGGCGATGCACACCACTTTCCTCTTGGCAAGGAAGGTGGTATTAAAGCGAGGTGTAGGTTTAGCATTGACACGTAGGAAAATGTTTATGACTATTATGGAAAACTTATTTTTAAAATCTTGATTTCCATTCAGCTCATTTACAACCTGTGTGCTGATTAATAAATTAGGCACCAATCATGTGTAAATCAATGTAAATCGCTAGTTTATGTACATAATATAAACTGTGTAAACTTCAGTTTTCACGCAGGGCCCAAATGCAGCTAAACCTCTGAATCTTAAAGAAAAAATAAAATAAAAATGGCATCCAGGGATACAAGCCAAATCCCTCCAGAGGTCAGTCTGGGAAGAAGTGTGAGGAAGGGCCCGAACACAAGGTTACCTCAAGCAAAAGGAAGCAGACCTGCAGGAGTTGAGGGGGCAAAGGCTTCCTTTTGTCCCTGAGAAAGTCCCACAACTCAAAGGCCACCTCTTTCAGCACCTAACTTGAGACTCACCGGACACCTAAGCAAGTCAGACTGTCCCAGAAATGAAGGACGGACCCGGGAAGGGAGGAGTTTTGAGGTTCAGTTGTGCTGGGCATCCACTCTCAAGTCCCTCCCCGGCCGCCTCCCTCCCTGGTCACCCGCACCTCGGAGAGGAAGGAGTCACTGGCTGTATCCTTCACGGCTCCATAGACACACTGGGGAAGCTTCTTCGTGGTCTTGATTCCGAAGGCTTGTTCAGATAGCCAGTGTCACCTCATTGAGACATATCCTGCAGAGCCGCGTGCTAGGAAAGAGCTAATGAATCTGTCACTTATGTTCCTACCTATCGATCCTGAATGGAATCCTTCTGATTGGGAGTTTCTCTCAAGCATGTCTTTTAGAAGTGTCTAAAGTGGTTAGCAGAGTGGCATATAGACCTTTCCGACAGAGGGGACCCCAACTGGTATATAGAGAGTCCTCAAAGACGACTTCGGGGACTGCATGAATTTTCTGCAAGGTTGAAGTTCTAGAAAGAAGAGGACCGAAATGGGCTCCTATTAACATCAGACTCAGAGAGCTGCGAAGCGTGTGGGACCGGCAGTCAGGAGAATGGGGTCCTAGCCCAGCGTCTCGCCACGAACACGTTGGGTCACCAGGGACAAGTCATTGGGTCTTTGTTTTCACCGCCACATAGCTAGGACTTTGAGGACATTTTCTTTTAAGTTTCTTTCCACTCTAAGCTCTCTGGTTCCGAGCCTGAACTTAGGACGTATGCGGTGCTAAGCCCAGAAAACTGACCCATGCCATCCCCTCCAGGTTGGCCTCCGAACTGACTCCCTTGGCAGAAACATCACTTCCCCTTTGTCATTCCAAAATCCCAAACCATGTAGAATGCAATGTCTCTTGCCTGGTCCTATAATTCTGTCCCTCCCAACACTTCTTAGTAATATGGAGAAGGGGCGCATGTAGATTACACTGAAGATATTGAAATAACTAGAGCTTGTCTCCTTGTTTATGTGATTATAAAATCTAACTTGAACTCTATTCTAATAACCTTTTGTCGGAAGGAAAACACCCAGACTGGGGATTCTACATGTAACAAGTGAGGAAGTTGTGCAAATGAAAGGAAACATCCGTTTTCTCTCATTCTGGGCCAAGCGCCTCATTATCACAAATGTGTGTCCTTGGGAACTCTGCTTGGATGGTTGGCAGTGAACACGTGGTCCCAGCTGGGTTCAAAAGGCAGTTCTGTGAGAAACAGGCAGGATAATATATTCTGTTTGGGAAGAAATCTCTCCTGGCTTTTAAGTTTCCCTAAACTTGACTTATAGGTTAGGAAATCAAGCAAGTAGATGGAGGGAAGGCAGGCCTTGTTTTCCAAAAAAAGTAGATATCCATACCATTTCGAGAAGGTAACTTGAAAATAAGACAAGAGTAAACACATTTCAGAAGGCTAGAAACAAACAAAATCAGGTGTGAACATTAAATGTGCTGTGATTTGGTGCCGAGAGAGGAGAGCTGCCTGGACGGTGAAGAGGGACTTTCTCTCTTGTGCTCGGACCAGGATGGATTCGGGACAACCCCTTTGTCTTGGCCTACTAAAGTAGAGCCCCTGCTAGCCTCAAGACTCAGCACCTGCCCCAGTGTGTCTTCTCGTGCATTGCCTGGAAGAGTATAAGAATTTGGAATCTCCTGTGTGCTCTAGAGCAGGGCTTATTCACCACTTCCCAGTGTGCATGTACTCTATCTCTCTGAGTGTTGAGAATGCTTAAGCAGCTCTCTTTCCATGCGGAATGACCCACCCATGGGATAGCTTCCCACTTCCTTGGGGATTTCCGGGGTGCCTCTTTGGTAGGGGTGTTCCTGAATCTATTCCTGCAGCTACATTCTTCTCCACACAAACCTCTCTCTGTATAGACAGGCACTGTCTAAGCACCTACTTCCTACAAATGAAGAAAACACATCACACTACTAGCTTCGGGGCACTCAACCCCAATTTCAAGCTATATGGAGTGCTTAAAAAAAAACACAAAACACTTCCCTAAGCCTGTACTCTTCACCAGACTATAAATGGCTTATCCTGGTGAATTGTGGCCAAGCTCTGCTTCTTCAGCATCCACGGAGAGAAACAGGAAGAGGGGTTTAAAGGGAAATGTCCAAGGAGTAAAATAGGGGGGGGGGCTTCCAACTTTTCCCACACACACCCTCCCCACACTGGCTTCCCTCCTCCTCCCTGCTCTACTGAAGGGGACGCGAACCCTGCTGTTGGTTAGAATTCTTCCTATTAACAGTGTTCTATACATATAAATATATATATATGGATATATTCCTTTTTTTCAATCCTGTAGACATGAACTCAATGTCCCTTGACCAGACAAACACATGGCCACTGTTTGGTTTGTGTTTTATGTTGCTGAAGGCATCTTATTTTTGTTTATTGGATGGATTTCCCTGCCTCCCCTCTCTCCCTGGCCCTCCTACCCCCCGCTGCCCCCTGGATACTAGCTCTATGGAGGAAAATTAAAAGCGCAGTGTGTGTAAAAAAAAATTAAATTTTTTTTTTAAAAAAGCTTTTTTCCTTTTCTTTTTAAATGTATTTAAATTCTGTTTCTCTCTTGTGTTACTTTACACGTATGACTGCTCTGCTCTTCTGTGATCTCAAAGCAAAATGAAATAAACGTGAAAAGGAGCTGTATCTTCATTGACCCGAGTCCGTGATCTTGCGGTTGACTGCACTGCTTCTTGGAGGTTTCCGTGAATCTGCTAAGAAGCGAAGCCGAGGCTAAGAAAAGCCCCGGGAGACAGGGTGGGCAGCACATGGATGATGGGCTTGCTGGCTCTCTCACAATGTCCCAGCTGATGGGGAAAGGGCGGCTATTCATAATCATGGTCTTCACCTAAGCAAAGGGATGCTCTGAAAGGGATTTTTCTTTTCCTTCCACAAAACAGCATAAGAAATAAGCACAAATGATCATGGGGAAGCTATGAAGAAAGCATTAAGACGTTTCTGATAGACTTGAGGGAACGTGAGAAAAAAAAAAAGAATGGTGTGCACCATTTCTGTAAGGTCTTTACAATAGGGATTCTCTTTAAGGGTTGGTTTTAATTAGCTCCCACCTGGTAGCTATAGGAGGAACCACATTATCTTCTAAAGCTACCTATTATTTCTACTTTTGATAAAAAAAATAGTGTGCTTTCTATTCTTGTTGAGGGCTCTTATTATCATGAAACGTTCTTAGAAATCTCTATTGAATCCCAATAGCTCCTCAACAGCCCACCAGGAATGTCAAGTGGAAATGAGAAGTAAGTCATCCTCCTTCATCCAAAGAGGTTAGGTTGGCTGATCATCCTCCAGAAGAGGTTGGCAGGATGGAGAGGGTCCTACAATCTGTTTCTTAGGAGTTTGAGTTAGTCTGGGTACATTAGAGAAACAAATCCACAGAAATTCATGTATAAGGGAGAGTTTTATATTAAGGGTAAGTGCACATCAAGAAAACATCCCAACCCAATGCTGCCCAAGCCCACAAGTCCAACATTAACCCATATGTCTGACACCAATCCACAAAGTC